GAGCTGGGCTGTCACCGCTTGGCCGCCGGTGGGGGGTTTGGGAGGCCGCATCGCACACAAACACCCACACACTCCCTCAACTTCCACGAACGCACACATACGCAGACTCGTTTCCACACGGACATAGACACACGCACAGAAACCCACACACTACCTCAACTCACTCGACTTAACACTTCTCACTACACACTTACCGGATAACTCGCACTCTGATTTCCTACGTGATGAAAAATGCTTTCGGGCCACTCGTCGTCTAGTTGTTCCTAGTAGTAATGCCAGGAGCTCCTAGTAGCTTCTTGCTACTAGTAGCGATGCCCTTTGTTACTAGTAGCTTCTTGTTACTAGATGCCAAAAAGTCAAACCGATTGTTGGGAGTGAAACCTCGTGTTGTGACCTTTCAGCCAGACTCTCGACTCTCGACAAGCCAGTGACCTTTCATCCAGTCCTTGGCAAGTCAAGGCGCTCCACTATAAGCCGATCAGTTTTTTTGTTGTATTCCATGTCACAGGACCCGCAAGCCATGCCCGACCCGCCACGATGGACGGGCACGATCGATGCTCCGACTGGGTCGTGACCCACCTGGACCCCGACCAATCCACCATGCAGCGAACGACCTTCGCATGTAGGTCAAGGTGTGCCATGACCCACAGCCATATTAGAAACAAGTGCATCGCTACTAGGAGCAAGAAGCTATTAGTAACAAGTGCATCGCTACTAGTAACAGGTGCCTTACTAGTAGTAACAAGAAGCTATTAGAAACAAGTGCATATGATAGGACTTCAACGGCCCGGTCACTCCTTTGATCCCTCAGGACTTCCGCTTGGGCATGGGCGAGGTCATCCAAGGCTGGGATGAAGGAGTGCCCCTTGGTCGTCCAGCCGTGGGTATTGATGGGTGAAGTGAATTTGTTGGGAGCTGGGGTCATTTGGGAAAACCAGAAGTGTTTAGGGTGGTTTGGGGTAGTCTAGGCTTCTACTTATGATTGGGGCGTCAAAAAGGAAGTCCTGGTCGTAGTTGTTTCGCAAACCCGCTTGACTAATTAACAATTTTGGTGTGGAGCTTGTGTTTGGAAGAGTTGGACATGTTTGCAGATTGCAACATGTTTGCGGTCTATACACTGGCTGGACAAAAGTTGTGAATATTGATTGATGTTGAAACGCATTAATAAAACCCTTTCCCTTTTCCATAGAATCCCGCGCGCTGGGAGCTGGGGTGTGTGCAGTCAATTTCACACCGGGGCGTAAAAAGAGGACAACGACAACTCTATGAACACATGCATGCTGCATAAACTGTTGTTTGAAGCAAAACAGTATGATGACAGCATGTTCCGAACCTTTAACCTTTATTATTCCTTCATTTAGGCATCATGACGTTGTCTGAACTGGTTGGTGTTTCTTCCCCACAATGGCCAAAGGATATATAACCATCACTGCAACATATATTATAGCCCGCATTTTGCAGGGCTTCCACTTAGCTATACCATGCACATCCACGCACCCTGAATTTGGAAAAGACATGTGGCCCCCTCTCCACGTCGTTCATTTGATGATGCTCGACGTTCGTTGATTTGTGTCAAAACCACCATCGGCCCACGGACGCTCATTTCCAACACGACTTGAGGAAAGGCATGCTGCGGGGCGAGAAGCGCAGATTGTTCTTTGCTTGCATCTAGTGCATTACCGAGTCATACTTCACCAGCTCTTCATCACAGTGCTAGGCTTACGCTGTTTTGATCAAACGGTTTTTTCCCGTTGAGTCCCAGCAGCCTCTCTCTCGCCTCTTGTTGGCCAAGGCTGGTCCCCGCCAAGCTGGGCTATGGTCGCAGCGGCGCTCCCCCGGCCATTCCTCCCAATGCCAATTTGGTCTTTGAGGTGGAGCTCCTCAGCTGAGGAGTGAACCTGGACGGGGTCCTCCCGCCACCACAGCGACGCGACGGACTCTGATGCAAGGAAAAAAGAAGAACGGACCAGAGGTGTTCGAACAATGTGAATAGCTTCAAGTCGATACCAGGACCTTGCACCAGGATACCTCCATCCAGAGGTCATGCGATGACTTTGGACCCAGAGGGTCTGGCTGTCAGCACGGTGTCCCAGTAGTACCCCGCATCGCCATGCGGTATGTGATTTGCGATTGCAGTCATTCGCTTGGCCATCAGCCGGGATGCCCAACGTGGCAGGACTTCAGCCCAGCACAATACAAAAAGGTGTTTTGCGATGGGCTGCTGATTGAAATTCTATAATATATATATACTTGATTATATATACTTGCATATATTATATATATGATAGATTTGCCACTTTGGTGTGGTGACCGTTGGCTGCTGCAGACGACACCTGTTGTCGGGTCTGGGCACAGCATATATATATATTAGTTATGGTCAACCACTTGTACAGTCATCAATTCTGGCGAGTCCAGCAGTCTTCGGGACCCACAAGGGGACCAATCAACAATATAGTAAACATGTTAAAAAAAGAACACACAATGAATCAACACCAACCGATGCGATATTATGTTTGCAAACCAACGCAACACATTCACATTGTTTGCATTGGTTTTTCTTTGTTCCAATGACCTCCGACCTGACGTCACGTCGGCGACGCACCGGCAGTCGAAACCCGCCCGGGGGGTGAGACCAACGGGGCATGGCTGCGAGCCCATCCTCATGCGATCGATGACACGAAAAAAAACGGAGAGAACCATGACTCTATTTGGATTATTAAAAGAAGTACTAACCCATTTTTCAGGAGATTTGGTGTGAGTCTGCATCCAATTATATACACGATTCCAAGGTGACCCACATCGATCTTTGCTGAGAAAAGTCATCAGGCACATGAAGGACTCCTTGGTGTTTGGTTTGAGACCCGGTTTGGTTTTGTGTGTGTGTTTTTTTGATGATTGTGCTCGATATTGAGCAAACGTCTCTGTAAATAAGGAGGACAAAAATAACAAATAAACAACTAAGTACAGTTGCCTCGAATCAGTTTTGTTCGCCTAGAGGTCCCAGAAGCTTGAACATCGGGAACAAGCAAGGTGCTGTTTGTATTTGTTTGTCATAGTCATAGTCTTGTCATGTACAAGAAAACCACACAGAAGCGGAACGATACCTAATCGAATGAAATACACTGGGATGAACATGGGCCTTGACACACCATATCAACTTCTAGTGGTAACTCGGCAGCATCAACATCACCCCAGCCCCCACCTGAACGCCATCATAGTTAAATTGATATATTTGCATGATTCTAATCACTGTTCAATCTTTTTCAGGTATTGTTCTTGGACAAACTGCAAAATGCATCCTTGGGGATTGCAATGCATTTGGGGTTGGAATCGGTTTGGAATATCCCTGCTCGAATTCTTTGACAGGGGAATCACTCGGCGCTGGTCACTGGTAGCGTCAGCTCGTGACTTGCGGATGCGGGTGCGTGGTCGAATTGCACGTGGATTTGTACATGTGTTTTTGTGGGGTTCGTGCTGGGGAACAACCCCCTGCTGCTTGCTGATGACTCTGCCGTGGAATTTGTACCAATAAAAATCAACTGTACAACGTGGAATCATCAATCACCAAATTGTAGAGGAAAATTGTCATCCAAGGGGCCATGCCATCCACTTCCATGATGACTCCAGCGAGTGTAGTCAGTGTTGAATTGACCAAGTAGGGCTTGAGTTTGTGAATGGCCCATTCCACTGGCCATGCCACCTAAGTTAGGGATAGACAGTACATGTTTGTTTTGTTTTATTGATTTAGTATATGCAAATATGTAGTCAAACTGACCTTTTGTGGGTAAATATGTTAATTCCTTTCATGATATTCAGGTTGTCAAGAATCTCACAGATTCTTGTCTTTGTGCCTGCTCAGGCATCGTCGTTTGTGCGTGATTGCGCAAGTGTTGTTTCACAGCTGTACAGCAACCGTATAGATTTGGGCAAATGATGACGGCATTACTTTTGTGTATTCTGCTCAAATGATGGGTCTTGTCAGTGTATGTTTGAACTGTAGAGGGAATATGCTACTTTTGCCCAGATATATGTCGAGGTGGATAGGACCTTAGGACTCGGGCAGTGGTCATACCTTTCTTGCAGCAGATCGTACCTTTTTCTTTGCTGCTATGAGTTTTCCGACCGCGACGCTTCTGTTTGTTGGGCCTCCAAGCCCATGCTGATGTGGCAGAAGATTCTGCGATGTTGACGTTGTTCATTCAAGTCATGTGCAAAGTATGAACATGGGCGCAATCTCTGCAAACTCACATGGTAGGTTGCCAAAACTCCCATGTTTGTTCGACACCATTTAGGCCAGTCAGAAGCAATCATCGCTAATAACAACATGTACAAAAGAATGCTTTTCTTGAAACTGGCTGTGGTTTTGTCAGAGCCTTCCGCAGCTAATGGCCTTCCAATGGCTCCTTCAATCAGAACCCTCGCAACTGCGACTGCCAAAATCAAGAACACAGATCCACCCGCCCGGTCCCCGCCAAGAATGAGCGAGCTCGGACCGACCGCTGAGCGAAAAGACGACCCACCGCCTGATGAGGACGTCGATGGGTCTGAAGAGCGATCTTAAAGAATCAAATACCCCCACCTTTTTGCGAACGATTGAGGGTTTGCATAGAAAGAGTGCTATAGTCAGAAGTAGTAGTAGTAGTAGTAGTAGTAGTAGTAGGAGTAGGAGTAGCAGTAGCAGTAGCAGTAGTAGTAGTTGTAGTAGTATTAGTAGTTGTTGTAGTAGTAGCAGTAGTAGCAGTTGCAGTTGCAGTTGCAGCAGTAGCAGCAGTAGTAGCAGTAGCAGTAGCAGTAGTAGCAGTAGCAGCTGTGGTGGATTACTGTAATTAACGTACTAAATCAAATCAAATCAATAGGAAACGTTGAATTTTTCCGTCCTCCTTGATTGTTGAGGATACAACATTAATGCGTCAGTCAAAGTACCAGGAGGTTAGACCATCAAGCGCGCAGAAAGGTTTGTCCGAGGGAGTTCACCAACGGCTCAACCCCGCAACGCCAGTCGGCGCCGATACAGGGTCCAACTTTCGCTCGGTCTCCGAAAAAGCTCCTAGTAGCGGTCATTGCTCCTAGTAGCGATGCCCTTTGCTCCTAGTAGCGTCCTAGGAGCGAATGCGCCGAAGCGGCGCGATTTCGCCGAAGCGGCGTCCATTGCAGGCTTGATCGTTCGGGACGCACGGTGTGCGCGGAAGGGCGCACTGCGAAAGCAGCACGCAAGCCTAGGTGTGATTTAAAGGGCTCCGGACTGCAGTGGGAAACAAACAGTGGCCGGGGGCTGATTTGCTGAAAAGATCGTGATTCTTGGGTGGAAAGGATTTGCAATCATTGTTGAGCGGGACTTGTCTTGGAAACCGTTGGCTGGTAGCAACAGCGGAGAAATGTATCCGCAAATAAGACCCAGGAACTCGCAGGTTAGGATGTGATAGGATGTGATGTCTTCATAGTTTTCCAGTGAAAGAAACAGTGGGTTTCGGGGTTCGCAGCCGGTGCGCAGGCGTGTTGAGCAACAATTAAATTAGGTGGCTTGTATGAAGGGCAAATTTTAATCCTCACATCGCGTCCTTCGATCAGTCCTCGCATGTACAGCTCTCTTGCGCTTCTCCTGCTTTGCAATGTTCTCAAATGAAAAATTGCTTCCGGATTCCGTCGCAGACTTTGCACACCCAACCACCACAAGTATGCGCTGTTGATTGCAGTTGATGTGTTCGTTCAACATTCAGCCACCAGTGATTCCAAAGGAATGCCTAATTGAGGATAGGGTTGCCACTGGCCACCCTTAGAACTTAAGTTCCACTCTTTTGGAACTCCTGGACAATGTGTTTTCTTCGCTGACTTAGACTTGATTTAAGTTAGGGGCACCCTGTGTGGGATTCGCACCAGAGGCTTTGCCCAATCGGGACGAAGAAGTGTGGAGGTGAGAAATCAGAACTTCCTTGCCACAACGGCCCACCTAACACCTTGACGCCTTAGTCACAGCCCAACTTAATGAGCTATGTTGCTTGCAAGAGAATCTTCACTGCAATGCTTCCCGATGTCAGGTTTTAGAAAAAACCTCTAAGCTTGTTGAAGAGCTATCTCCTACCTAGCAGGGTCATTGTCCAGTAGGCCCAGAAACTGTCTTGCTCTCCAGTTGGAATCGTTTGTTTTTCTTGAAGACAGCGTTCCTCGTGTAGGAATTGGTTGTTTTTATTTCATCATTCAGCGTGTATACATGGCCTGCATAACATTATATATATATATATATACTAACTATATGCGATCTCTCGTGATGAAGAGATGTTCGCAATGTCTAGGCCCATCAGGGTCAAGCATCGTGATTGAATGTTTTGGCATGGAAATGGACTCCTCTCTGTTGGAGAAGTTCAATCATCTAACAGTCCAAGCCGAGCCTCAACACAAAGTCTTTGCAGCACCGAAACACCAGAACACTTGAGTGTCTTACAACCCAGCTCCATACAACTTAGTCATCTTTGCTATACCCTTTTGCTTTGGCATCCCAGCTAGGCAATTAGGCCCTGAGATATAGGGAAAGTGGTTGAGTTGCCCGTTAGACTCGCTTCACTTCTGATGAGTGTATATATAGTATGTATAAATTAATACAATATATAAAATATACGATATATATATATATAGTTTTAAGATATTTTAAGAACCACTGAACCAGTCCGAAGATTGTACTTGAGCATTGCCACGATTGTTGTGTAAAACACAAGGTCCTGCCTCCATCCGGACATGGGAACTGTTGCTTGACATAAAGGCTAAAGTCCATGACATCTACTTGAGGCCTTCCCTTGGTCCAAACAACTGTGCCAAACCGGCCGCAGCTGAAACCGGGCCATGCCGGACGGGAAGCGCGTGACCTTGTTGGATCCGTTGCTGACACCTTCGCAGCGAGTTCCTGGATCGCCATCACGTGTGGAGGCCGGCGGATCGGGGATGTGGATCGGGCGGGCTCGATTTGGATAGGA